CTCAGATCATCTGCCCACCTCGGCCTCGAAAAGTGCTGGGATTGTAGGTGTGAGCCACCGCACCCAGGTATGGCATTTTTTTAATCCTTCGTAGTTTAGTTGATAGCTTCTGATTAGGTGAGAATATTCATAAGTATCTAGTAAAACTACCAAGATGATCTTTTTAATCTGTGAGACTCTTCTACTGAGTCCTAGGGTAATAATATACTAAAGGCACTAAGAAATGACTCAAAGCTAAAAATCAAGGACCACAGAAAATTTAAATAAAAAGATTATAGCTTATAAAGGTAACAGTAATATTAGGAACCAGAATTTTGCTCCTTTAATTTCTGTGCTTCTTTTCCCAAACCTCTAGAAACAATTTTGAAAGAAAACATTTGTATAAGAACCAGAGATAAAGAGGATGGCAATTTTTTAGAACGTGGTCAGCCACCTAAACAAGAATTAAATTAGAAATGCAAGAGTCAAATACAAGTCAACCTAAAAATACGTAAATTTTTCAGTAATACTTTCTTCACCTTTTAACTAAGTTATAAATATAATCAAGAAAAAAGCAAAATAATCTCCACAGCAGTATATATACTTTTGCTCAATTAACTGAATATATTCCACGTAAATAATCTAAAGAGTATTTCCAACAAATCAGTCAAGATACTGAGTGTAACATTTTCCATTCTATATCAGAAGGATAATATTTTAGATATTTATCCACATCTACCAACAAGAATTAAGTACACTGGGCCTAATACTTCTCACACAATGTTTTAAAAAATCCACATCAATAAAAAGACAATATTTGTAAATGTAAGGTTTATATTCAAGTGTGGATTACACAACCAAGGGAGAGAAATGATGGAACAGAGTTCTGAGGCCGGAGGTCTAAGCCCTTCTCAGTAACTAATTAGCTTTATGCCCTTAGGTAAAACTAAAAACATCTTGGGCCTCAGTTTCTTCAATCTACAAAATGAGGCAGTCAAATTACATGATCTCTAAAGCTACATCAGTTAAACAGTGTGGAAAAGCAAATGCTTGTCAATGCCTAGAATACACTATACTATAAAAAGTGTAACTCTTTGGCGTGATATCAAACAACACAATATAAAAAAATCTTCTCCCTAAATTTGGAAGTGTATTTCTTACCCATCTAATCCCGAGTTTATAGCTATGATCAAATAACACCAGTACTGAGGAATTAATATATTCACTGAAATCTCATGTGCTTGTTATTTATTTTTCTATAATATTTAAGTCGAGGAAGTGCCTCAACTGGGAAAATGTAGCATGCCCAATATAATTACTCTTTTAAAAAATATTTATTGAACATTTAGCCAGGCATTGTGATAAGTGCTAAAGGTGTAGTAAGGAACAGGATAAGCACAGATCTTCCCTAGTAACATTTACAGACTAAAGAAACAGAAGCAAATGGGGAATTTCAATACAATGGGGCAAAGGCCAAGAAGAAAAAGTATAGCTTTACACCATCAAAAAAGTATATAAATTCACCTTTTTGTTTCTTAAGGGAATAAATACTGGATCCAGGAATTAAATGTGTTCTTATATGAACACCAATGCACTCAGGATCCTGCCTGATGTGGAAGCACAGCTAATACCAGCTTTTCTTTATTCTCTGTCACAAAACAATAATGTAACATGTGGACTCAACAGTGATTCTCTCTAGTAGGTGAATCCATCTTGAGAGTGCTGGCCTGTGCTAGATATGACATGCTGTCCCTACCGTCTCCATGTGAATATCTTTAGTACTTCTCACTTCTTGCCATGATGTGAACAAAAACTGTGATCTGTGTCTTTGTCCTTGCTTCTCTTGGGGCCTTCCTGTCCAACTAGAAATTTCTGACTATCAGTCTCCCTGGTGGAAACTCTTTCAATACTGCCACGAATTTGCCTGTCTGGGAGACTGCATGTTCATTTATTCAGATACTAACCACTGACGGAGTCTTCTACTTCGGCTAGAAAATCCTGGAAATTTCTTTCTCTATCACCCTAGAATACAACATCTCTCATCACGGGTATGCTGTCAACAAAATCACTCCAGTCTGTCCTTTCCTCTGAATGTCTGAACAATTTTCTTAATTCAGAGTCTCACTCTAAGCTTCTTAACTGGTCTCTCTACCTCAAATCTTACCAACTCTAATCTACCTTTCACTTCACTATCAAAATATAAATATAAGCAATGCTACTCTATCCTGTTCAAAACTCCTTTGTGATTCTCCATGCAATGTAGATCTGAATCCAGGATCCTCAAAATGGCAAATAATGCTCTACTGGATGAACCTAATCCTAATCCCTCTGGAGCCCCATCCCCTGCCATTCTCCATGTCATATGTTCATATTTTACTATTGCCAAATCATTTGAGCTTTCTTTGCATTCATCAAATTGCTTCTGTTCTGTGCCTTTCCTAGAACTTTGTTCTTTGCATGGTTGCTCTTTGCTCTTTACCTGGATGGTTTCAATATTCATCTGGGACATCAGCCTCCGTGGTAGCTTCTGCATACTTCTATTACAGCTCTTACTTATAAGACTGAAATTATCTGCATATATGTCTGTCTTTTCTAAAGACCAGGACAACGTCTTGGTTTTTTTCTGAGATGAAGTCTCGCTCTGTCGCCCAGGCCAGAGTGCAGTGGCGCGATCTTGGCTCACTGCAACCTCTGCCTCCTGGGTTAAACAATTCACCTGCCTCAGCCTCCCGAGTAGCTGGGACCGCAGATGCATGCCACCATGGCCAGCTAATTTTTTGTATTTTTAGTAGAGACAGGGGTTCCCCGTGTAAGCTAGGATGGTCTCAATCTCCTGACCTCGTGATCCCTTCACCTTGGCCTCCCAAAGTGCTGGAATTACAGGCATGAGTCACTGTGCCTTGTTCATTTTTTTATGTCCACAGCATGTAACAGCCTCTGAGACATAGTAGTTTCTCAGTAAATTCCATTAAGCTGAAGAAAACATGGCCTTACCATACCTTGTTAGAACTTATTACAAAAACATACCCCTAATCAATGGAAACTGCTTACCTGGCATTCCTTAATGACCATGTGATGGTTAATACTGAGTGCCAAATTGATTAGACTGAAGGATACAAAGTATTGAGCCTGGGTGTGTCTGTGAGGGTGTTGCCAAAGGAGATTAACATTTGAGTGGATGGGCTGGGAAAGGCAGATCCACCCTAATCTGAGTGGGCACAATCTAATCAGCTACCAGCATGGCTAAAATATAAGCAGGCAGAAAAATATGAAAAGAGAGACTGGTCCAGCCTCCCAGCCTACATTTTTCTCCCGTGCTGGATGCTTCCTGCCCTTGAACACTGGACTCCAGGCTTTTCAGTTTTGTAACTTGGACTGGCTGTCCTTGCTCCTCAGCCTGCAGATGGCCTATTGTGGGACCTTGTGATCGTGTGAGTAAATACTCAATAAACTCCCCTTTATAAAGAGATCTATTCCATTAGTTCCATCCCTCTAGAGAACCCTGACTAATACAGACCATCTCAACCCTCTTCCTTCCTGTAATTTCTTCTTATTACCATTCATTAGCTATTTTACCTGTAAGTATAGTCCAACTCTCAATTGGACTTCATATTTTTATTATGCCACCACTGCCAACAAAGCAACTGTGATGCAAACCCCACCCAATCCTTGTTTTCTAGAATTAATACTAACAGAACAAATTCACTTGGCAGATTTATGAAAACAATTACTGAATGCCCTCAGAGGTCCTTCTAATACTGCAAGATGTCAGAATGGACTATCTCAAGAGCAATTCTGCTTTCCATATAGTATTTTGTCCTCTGACTTAGATCTTATCTTTAATACTTATAGAGCTGTCCAGTCGTAGTTCATGGGAATTACAGTATTGTAGCCCATCAATAACTTAAGCCATCTTTCTAGTAAATAGATTCAATTCCCCCTTAGTCAGTTGGTCAGTGTGGTATTTTTTATCACAACCCGTTTACACTGTAGAAGGAACTGTTGTCTCATGCAGTATTAGAACTGGTCTGATCAGAAGTTCAATCCCATTAAAAGATAAGGGAAAACTGCTCACTAGCTCCCAAATTAAAGAGCTATGATTAAGAGTCATCTCTGACTCTCATAATTTAACTGAACTACAGCAGTGAAAGCTTTCTGTTCAGAAATGATAAAGACTTTAACTTGAAAGAAAATTCTAAGTACATTGCTCTTGTTGTCAGAATTGTGAAGTTGAGAAAAAGAAAACTGAGAAATGCAATATTAACACACAACAGAAGTTTCTGGCCAAAACATTCTGAGGCAGCAAAACATTCTAAATTCCCTAATTCAAGTGGCATAAATATAAATTTGTATTTGTTTCTATCAAAAATGGCTAGAAATGCACAGGTTCATTGTTAAAGTTCAATGTTCAATCACTATACTTTCATTTTCTTGTTAAGAATGCTTTGTTTTAGGAGGCTTCCCTAATGCATAGTTGACCTTCAAAGGTAAACCTCATCTTTCCATCACCTCCCACCCATGTCTTACTCACCAATCTCAGGGCATTATCTGTGGTTACTCAAATATTCTCATCTTCATGTCACTGTTCTATCCATAACTAACTAACTTGAGAACTACATATTTTTGTAAGGCCAAGTTTAAATATAGCTTTTTTCCAGAAGCTGTCTCTGACATGCTGGTAGCATCATACCCTACCTTTCTCCCAGCACAAACAACAGAATTCGTTCTTCCTTCTTCTGTGTTCCTTTGGCAATGTTCACATATATCTATAATCTGGTTCTTAATATTTCAACAGTTTTACTTTCCTTTATTCTCTCATTCTAGGCCTACATATTTAACTTTTAAACGTTAAAATAAAAAACACAGAGATTCCCTAAACAGACTGGAGGGATTTCTTCCCCTGCAATTAAGTATTATAGCTTCACATGTTCAGTTACATGACAAAATAAATGGCTAAACCAAATAGGATGGCTTAAAGATCATAAATATTACAATAACTTTAGGATTCAAAGATCAATTACCTTGCTTTCTGCTAACCAGCGATGTGGGTCATAATGTATATCAGGACCAGATGAAAAAACCTACAAAAGAGAAAAGAGTCTATCAGAAATACATTTTTCTCTGACATAAATATATAAATGAAATTCTTCACCATAGCATCCAAAAGTATAGTCCCCCAATTTAAGGATTTGAAAAGAAAAATGTTTGCCCCAAATACTCAACCAGTTCCAAACCAGCATTCATTTACATGCCTCTTTATGTATGTATTCATTTATTTATGTATTGGCAATAAATATTGTTATGGAAAAATCAACTATCAAGTGCTATCATTGCTAGGATCTGTGGAGGCTGATTCTATGGAGCTCCATATGGCAAACAGTTTCAATTAAAGTCAGGTTACTTCATTTTTGTTTGTTTCCTTTCTTCAGCCTTGTTCTGCATAATGTATTTCAAAGAGGGTTATATGTGATTACATGGAAACAATCCTTTCTCTCATTTATCCTTAACTTAATACTAAATTTAACCCTAATTTAATACTAAAAGGGCCATTTTGTCTTATCAATGATTGTCAATAGACACAAACTCATCAACATGACTTCAAGCAAACATTGCTTTGTATTTCAAAATAATAACAAAATTCTACAATAATAGTTCATCTATACTAGCTGCTTTGACTTCCTTCATGCCAACTCATTTATAAAATCCCTTGCATCTGGTTTTGTCATATTACTAAACTGTATTCAAAGTTGGCAATGATTTTATAATTGTAAATACAAAAGTTTTTTCTCAATTTGTACTTTTGTTGAACTCCATGCTACAAATAATATTTTTGAAGACCTCTTTCTCAAATTTGCCTGTTTAAAAATACCTTATCCCTCTACAAAGAGAAGTCTATTCCTATTCTCAAATACCTCCATACCTCCTGAGCTGTGTGAACATTGCTTCTTTGTCAGGAATATCATTAGTTAACTCATTTAGACAAATGCTGAAAGCATACTAAGTGCCTACCACATACCACATACATGAATATTGTATTCCTATATCCAATTTTCTCTCATCCATCTTTCTATCTAAATCTCACCCAATCTCATATCCTCCCTGCCTTTTCAAGGAAATTTTCCCTAATCACTCGAGTTCACAGTATATTCTTCCTCTTCCAATTCTCTACTACATTGCTGAATATTTGCAAACATCCATTTGTCATTGACTAGAATACACTTTTATTATTTTTCTTTCTCATTCATGAACGTCATACATGTCAATTAAATCTTCTGTGGCCTAATAAAAATATTAATGTTTAATATCAAAGTAAAAGATAATTGGATACAGTAAGTACAAGTAATGTTCACATTTTATTATTTGCTTTACAGAAATATCTATAGCTTCATGTTTAAGAAGATAGCCTTAACTGGGCGGGTGTGGTGGTTCACGCCTGTAATTTCAGCACTTTGGGAGGCCAAGGCTGGTGGATCACCTGAGGTCAGGAGTTCAAGATCAGCCTGGCCAACATGGTGAAACTCTGTCTCTACTAAAAATACAAAAATTAGCTGGGCATGGTGGCACATGCCTGTAATCCCAGCTACTCAGAAGGCTGAGGCAGGAAAATTGCTCGAACCCACGACACGGAGGTTGCAGTAAGCAGAGATCGCGCCATTGCACTCCAGTCTCGGGGGACAAGAGCAAGACTTTGTCTCAAAAAAAAAAAAGAAGAAGAAGAAGAAGAAGATAGCCTTAACTATTTAACAAATGGTGTCAGCACAGTGTCTGGCACAGAGAACATAATAAACCACTGTTACTGGATATCAAAATGTCACTATCAATAAATAGGCTTCAAGGTCTACTATGAAAAAAGCACTATAACAAGCATTTGTCATTACAAACATAAAGAAAGAGAAGCCATATGTATTTGTGAACATATTACCAAAAAAAGGCAATACAAAATAATGATAGGTAACATTGAGTATCTACTAAGTGCAAGATATTTGACCCTATAATATGCACCTTCTATATCTTATCTTACTTTATCTTCTCAATGAGCCAACTTATAACTGCAGACATGAACTCTTAGAGAGGAAAGAGCTTACATAACTTATCCAAGGTCATATATTAGAAATTTGCAATGACTTCCAATGTGAACCTATACCTGTCTTGATCCAAAGCCCATCATCATCATGCTCTAAAACTGAATGAATACTCAGACCAAGTGTTATGGAAAGACAGAGACTAAAATAAGTGCAGTGCAGAACTAATCTATTTACCTGAGCTCTTGAATTATCAAAAACTGGCCTGTGAGAATGATATATCTTTAATTCAGACACTTTCCTAATTGTTTTATAATTGTAGCGTATGTCTGTCCTTCATTGTCAAACACATACATTAACTAAAGTGGAATAAGTAACAAATAAATAAGTAACAAGTACAATGACTTGAAAAAGAAAAATGTAACTAAAAATAACATCAACATTCCCAGGACTTTTCTCAAACTCATTTATTACATATCTATGTTCTAATCTATTCCATAGCACTGCTACTCTTTACATACAATGGCTGAAAATCTCATCAGCAATATTTCAGGAATCAATAAATGACTAAATGGAATTATTTCTTTTTTGAAAACATTTTACATACTTATTCCACACTCTGTCAGAACTATAAACTATAAAGCAAAGAATAAATTTTATCTTTACCACACCCCTGGGTGGTTTCTTGAGTATGTTTCTTTAGTGTTATGTTCTTGAGCACTCATTTTTTTCACAGGTTTATAGCAATAAAACAACAGAAGTTACTAATGAAAAGAGGCCCACAATGAAAAAAATGTAGACTCTTAAAAAATTAATAAAATTTCCTTTCTTTTAGATTTATTTTCCACCCAAGACTTGGATTAAATTCGTCTTTCTCTAGGGGAAGAAGTGTAAAACCCATTACCACAGTCACTCCATGTCTGAAAGCCTATAAAAAATTGGATGCTTTTTGGAATATTTTGGAAGGATAATTTGTGACTCATAAAGAAATAAAATATTTAAGCAATCTGCTATCTGCAGATCATGTATTTGCCTGCAATTGCCCATAAAAAAGTGTGCATATATACACATGTATGTGTGTGCATATGTGTGTGTGTGTGTATATATATATCTTACAACATGATCCAAATGTTTCCATTTTACCTTCCCACATGATTGAAAACAAACAATCCTGTTACAAATATTTAAATACAGAATACATATTGCATTGCTAATATATACTTCTTTGAGATAAAAACTATGATCTTCAAGGCTCCATATTCATTAAATAAATGCAAATATGACAAGTCTTAAATTTAAAAGCAGCATTAGACAGGAAAAAAAAATAAGTCAGAATTATCACAGGCCCTACAATAGCTCTAAAAGAGTTAGTTTTCCCCCTAAAGCCAATTATTTCTCATATTAGACTCATAGTCCTTTCAAACTAATACTTGAACTTAAATAAAAACTGTAAATGGGAATACACATTGTAAAAATTCCATCAACTCTACCAAATTCTATTAGTTAAAATATTTCCATTAAAGACAAATTCTGTAAACGACTTGACTGCAAGAGAATTAGTTATATTTTCTTTTAAACACAATTTAAGATAGAAGAAAAGGCAGAAAGAGTATGAAAAAAGAGGGGAACACAGTAGTATGAGAAAGGAAGGTCATTCTAGAGGAGGAAAAAGACAAATGTCAAAATCAATAGTAGAAACTTCTGAAAAGTAAAAATCATTTCAGCATAATATCAAAATGTGAGTGCCATCATATCACCCAACGCAGTAAATAGAGGGGTAAATGATGCTAAACTGTAATGTATTATGGTTACACATATCAAAGCAACGTAATGCTCTCTGTATATAAAATGGCAGCATAACCTACAGTTGACAGAAGTGCTTACCTGCAAGAAATTCAGAGCATCCATGATCACTTCTGTTTTTATTCATCATTTTACTATGACTCTAAATTGGGTAGCAGTATTCCATTTGTTAAAATAGCAAAACTACATTAAATATAGTTGGTTTAAACAGGGAAGGCAGATAACATAGTGGTTATTAACTTAGGTTCCAGCGTTAGACTCCATAGGTTTGAAGTCCTAGTTTAGCATTTAAGCAGATGTACAGCCAAGGGCAAGTTACTTAAACCGTCCAAACCTCCTTTTCTCTTAAGTGGGTTTAATCAGAGTAACTAAAAGATAGGGTTGTTTCAGAGGATAATGGAGAGACTAAAGCACCATGCATACTACATACAGTACCTATACTAGAGAACTCAATAAATGTTAGCTGGTAATATACTAACAACAACAAAAATAGCCTGTGATAGTGAAAACTCAAATTCCAGGCCTCTTGAATCCAAGAGATACCTCTCTTATAAGGCTTTTTTCTTTTTTTTTTTTTTTACAGAGTGGGACACGGCAATTCAATGAAAGAACACCATTCGTTCTCTCACCACAACTGTGCAACAGATCCAGTGCCTTGTTCTAAAAAATGCAAAATGTTATTTTGTTTTATAGAATTTTACATAATAATAATCTGACTACCATACATTAAAATCCTACTATAATTATATATTAGGAAACTAACTGAAAATATAAGGCACAATGAGAATTCATAATTACTTTTAATTTCTCCATTGAGTCCTTGGAGAATGTTTTACAAGCTGCATCAATTTCCTTTCCTATCACACCAAGAATGGATTCCTGTTCAGTCTCCAAGCAAAGAAGTTGATCCTTGAGCTGCAATCTGGCCTCTTCGGTCCTCCTTAAGTGCTCTTCTTCAATGCTTATATGTTTTTCCTAAGGCATTGACAAGAAATTAAACAAGGTGATTACTATTAAGTGGAGGCAAGAAATAATTATAATATCTGTTCAACCAACTAGCAGTGGATTAGAAAAAAAATCTGATTCCATCAGTCCCCTTACTTTGCCAAAATAAAACACTTTAATCTACTCATTAACTGAGGTAAAATTGTAGAGTTCCATCGTAGGGCAGTTTGGGAACTGGTGAGCAGATATTTCGCAAACAAAATTATAATTCCCTAACCAAAAAATAAATAAATAAATAAGTAGAAAAAAGAACCTTTTCCCATTTTAATAACATATTCTCACTAATGAACGAGAGTAAAAACTCATATCAGACACTGACTTCAAGCTTTCACTGAACATTAGTAAAACACCAGAAAATATAAACTGCTAAATATGATGCTAGTTTCTTCAACTGAGGAAAAAAATAAGTGTTACCACCTTTATCTCATCAAAATATAGTTTCAGAAAAATTCTACGTTTTCAAATGCAATTATACCACATAAATGCTTTTGAGTCATGAAAATTTGATAAGAGAAAGATGAAGGTACTTTTCCATCTTGTCATTGTATACTTAATGAAAAGGGGTTTCTAAGGACTTTTAAGAGATTACAAGGACTTGGGGAACCACTCTAGGCAAAAACAATTCTAAATCTTTATGTTTATACAGTTACATTACTAGAGAAATTGCAAATCATAGGGCTTGTAATAAAATAACAAAATCACTAGAATTGAATGTCTAAATGGTGGACCAAATCCATGATGGCTAACTATAACACCTTCAGTCATCACACTGTAACCTAATCATCTTCAACTGGCCTGCTAAATACAACAAAACCAGGAAAATTATGTGAGCAACAAACCCAACCTGAATTGAAAAAAAAATAACAAGGAGATCCACTCATTAAGAATTAATCATTTGGCCGGGCGCGGTGGCTCAAGCCTGTAATCCCAGCACTTTGGGAGGCCGAGACGGGTGGATCACGAGGTCAGGAGATCGAGACCATCCTGGCTAACACGGTGAAACCCCGTTTCTACTAAGAAATACAAAAAACTAGCCGGGCGAGGTGGCAGGTGCCTGTAGTCCCAGCTACTCGGGAGGCTGAGGCCGGAGAATGGCGTGAACCCGGGAGGCGGAGCTTGCAGTGAGCTGAGATCCGGACACTGCACTCCAGCCTGGGCTACAGAGTGAGACTCTGTCTCAGAAAAAAAAAAAAAAAAAAAAGAATTAATCATTTAAGCTAGAATCATATTTTACTAAAAGAAACATACATGATATTTCCTTTCAATTCAACTTACTTTAAAAACAAATGAAACATCCTCTGCCAGAAAAGACAGACCCTTTCATAATCTATCTTCTGCACTTCTCTCTTGCCTCACCTTCCTCCTTTCCACTCTCTCGGAATTTGATTACTTAAAGCATCTTAAATCCACCTACATATGTCTCCCCGGACCACATCTGACTTGTACAACCCTGCTTGAAGTTGTGCTACTTCAAAATGGGGCTAGTAACCAAGAGACATTTATCTCGAGGAGTTCATCTTAGTCCATCATCCTGGTCTGGATCTCAGTTTTGTAAAACTAGGAACTGGAATTTCTTTTTGGTACTCAGAGTGGTACTTTCAGCAGCAGAGTAACATTAAGCTCACAAGAGATTAATGTGTATGAACTAGAAAGCCACTAAACGACATTCATTTACGATGAGAACCATAACTACCATATGAATCGGAATGTCCATGTCAGCATAACCAGTACCTGTTCTCCCTACAGACAGATCTAGATGGGAAGGCAAACTATAATCAGACTATAGGTTAATTTAGAGCAAGGGGAGTTTGTTTTATGAAACAATGTTTAAATGGCATCCTGCTAATGGAAGTCCAGCATGTTCACCACACATCAGGAATTTACAAACCACAACAACAGGATCTCCATTCTTCTAGGTAGTGTTTGCATGAGGGTACTGAGATGCATCTCCCTAACTTTCTTGTTTTTCTACATTGAGTTCTGTCCAAACTCTCCCTACCGATTGATATTAATACATCATTTCTTCAGATTTATTAATATTTTCCCAAGTCTTGCTCGCATCTAGGAGTTTTCTGAAAAATTAACATCCCAGCTCTGAAGAGTATTTGATAATTGTATCATTGACTCATTAGAAAGCAACATTATTACCAAGTCTCTAGGTGATATTTGCCTCCCTACTGTTCCTAGGTATCTACCACCTATACCTTCTTATCCTTCAAAATTTATCCTTTAAGATGCTGCGTCCTTTCTTCCCGAACTCCCAAAGCAAATCATTCCCCTAGTATATTAGGTATATCATAATTTTTAATTTTTTTCAAATTGTAATATAATTATTTGCTTGTGCACCTATCTCCCCAAATAAACTGCTAATTTCAGGGGTCCACAAAGCATGCTTGTAATCATCTTTAAACTCCTCCACTTTGCTGAATAAATGATTTAAACATTTTTTGAAGACTCAAATTCAATACGTTAAAGATGATTTCATCAATTACCATGCACAGCTTATAACCTTGGAGGCTACTGAGGTGTGCTAGGAGGTTTCTCCCCACACATACATAGGGCCTCCTGATGGTGCAGTATTTTCACAGTCTGAAAGTAATAAAGAAAATAAATACCCTATCAGGGTATTAGAAGACTGCCCATATTTTAAGCAATTCAGAATAATGTTATAACTGATCTTTCTTTTCTCACTTCCCTCAAAGCCAACTCTCTTTCATCCACTACTACTTCTCTGTGGTCTCCATTACTGGTCTCTTATTAATAAGAAGACAAAACTATTTCAATCTTTTGATATTCCTGAGAATGTTGATATTGTCAGAAAAACCTCTGTAAGTTCAGTCCCTTTAGAAAACATAGAAAATTTCATTATCCACTTCACTATCCTCTGTGGGACAGTTGTATGCTATGTCCACGCTCCCTTTGAAGTAAAAGCTGTAGGACTATGGGCTCACATGGATCTTAAAGATCAGTAAATTCAACTACTTGCTCCTTCAGGATTCCCTTTTTTGGCATTTTTGACAGTTGAGTCATCCAACCACTAAACGAACACAAGTGTCCAGGAACAGAGTACCTGACAAAGCTGTAAACTCTCTCCATCAGTGTCCAAGCTATATGCAACAATTAAAGTAAAGAAACAGATCCTCCTCCCCCACTAAGCCTTCTAAACTTCCAGGTTAAGATTTCTGCTCTTTTCCCCTGTTTTTTATTTGATTGGGTTTCAGACGCATAGTGGTCTCCATTGTCTGCATGTACTCCAATACCCTAAATCCAAGAGTTAAGTAAGCTCTTCCATACCATACTTTAGCAGTTATAATTTCATTCATTCATTCGCTCATTCATTCATTCATTCCCTCATCCAACAAATACTTACATAAGTCCTACTCCAGATAAGACATTCTCGGCCGGGCACGGTGGCTCATGCCTATAATCCCAGCACTTTGGGAGGCCGAGGCGGGCAGATCGCGAGGTTAGGAGATTGAGACCACCCTGGCTAACACAGTGAAACCCCGTCTCTACTAAAAATACAAAAAATTAGTCGGGCGTGGTGGCTGTAGTCCCAGCTACTCGGGAGGCTGAGGCAGGAGAATGGTGTGACCCCAAAAGCTGTAGTCCTACAACTTTTACTACAAAGAGAGCTTGGACATAGCATACAACTGTCCCACAAAGGACAGTGTAGTGGATAATGAAACTTCCTATGTTTTCTAAAGAGACTGAACTTACGGAGCTTGCAGTGAGCTGAGATC